AAAAAAAAAATTAAAATATACATAACACAAAATTTACCATTTTAACCATTTGTAAGTGTATAGTTCAGTGGCATTACCTACATTCACATTATTGTGCAACCATCACCATTACCCAACTCCAGAACTGCTTATGCTTTTTCTTAATGTCTTGTTTAATAAATTCTTTGGACCATCAAGACCATAAAGACTGTCTATATATATTTGTTTTAAATTCTTAAAATTTTGGCTTTCATATTACAAGTTCTTAAATCATCTGGAATTGATTTTTTATACAGTAGGAGGTAGGGAATACATTTTTCCCTCCCTATAGACAGCCAGTTGTCCCAGCACCATTTACAATTGTCTATTTTTTGTTCCATTGATTTGTACAGTGGATCTGTCATACACCAAGTTTCCTCATAGGTGTGGGACCATGTTTGGGTTTTCTATTCTGTTCCATTGATTGGTGACTTTATTCTTGTACCAATACCATAATGTCTTAAATACTAGTGAATTAAGATTGGCCTTCCATCTACCTGAAAGGTAGATAGACATAACTAAATCCCAAGTTTTCTTCTGGTCTGTTTCATGGCCACATTCTTAGCCAGCCTTTCCCGGTTATCCTTTCTGAAATTTCAATATCTCCTTGCAAAACTTTACATTTTTCTTTTCTGATTAATTTTTTTTTTGTTTAGTAGTTGTTATCTAACCTAATGATTTATGCCTTTAACTTGTTTATTGTCTCTCTTTCCCATTAGAAGTTTTATGAGAGCAGGATTTTTTGGCTCTCTCATCATTCTTATATCCCCAGCATAGAAAATGTTTCCTGGCACTTAGTAAGTGTTTAATTACTATTTCTGGAACACATCAAATAATGTTGATATATGGAAGGGTAGTGGTTCTTCACCGTGCTACCCTTAAGAATATGCTTCCTCTCAGTTCTCCTGCTCCTTGATTTTGACCAAAAAAAGCAATCTAAAGCAAATGGAGAAATAATGAAGTGCTTTCTTTAGGTTGGTTCCCAGCCAACTCCCAGATGTAGGCAGTGAAATGGGGAGGGTGGAGGGCCACAGGTTGGCTAACTCTGCTTTAGCTTTTATGGGTCAGCTATCTTGCTGGAAATACCTCCTGTTCTCTGCTTTTCATGGCAAACACAGCTGGTAGGACCTAGAGTTTATAGCATGCTTACTTAGTAAAGAAGCTTACCACGCCTTTGGTTTTTAGGGCGACACACCCCGCACAGAGGAGGAATGAACACTCACTTAGATTTACCAAGCATGGCAACTAAATTATCAGCTGTAAGTGTGACACTTTTTGGGATAGAAGTTCTGGAGCTTTGGAGGAGTTATCTCAGGTTGAATGCCACGTGGGGCAGTCTGTCTGTAGCTGGGTAATGCCCAGGGCAGGCACTGAATTGAGCAGTGATGATTCATGGAAATTCTGCCAGAGAAGGTACTCTGTGCTTTATTACAGGCTAAACTAGGAAGCCAACTCATTCTGGAAGGAATGTGTATAAAGTTTTCAGATGAGGACTTGAAGTTTTATAAGTTGGAGTCACATTTGATTCAAACCATCTGTTTAATGGGAAGCTGAACCCAGCATTTTTTTTCATACGTCTCTCACAGTATTCAATAATTCAGTGTTGGTCGGGCACGGTGGCTCACGCCTATGATCCCAGCACTTTGGGAGGCCGAGGCAGGTGGATCACCTGAGGTCAGGAGTTTGAGACCAGCCTGGCCAACGTGGTGAAACCTCATCTCTACTAAAAATGCAAAAAATAGCTGGGCATGGTGGCAGGCGCCTGTAATCCCAGCTACTCGGGAGGCTGAGGTAGGAGAATTGCTTGAACCCAGGAGACGGAGGTTGCAGTAAGCCGAGATCGCACTACTGCACTCCAGCCTGGGCGACAGAGCAAGACTTCGTCTCAAAAAAACAAAACAAAACAAAAGAAAAAAAACAAAAACAATTCAGTGTCATAAGTATTTGTTGAGGGCCCATGGAGTGCCAGGCACTGGGGTCACAGAAATGAATGAAACAGTCGTCCCTGTTTTTGAGATGCTATGATTCAGTGGAAGTAAAACTTATGTGTTTATGTATGTTTTCCTCCCCATGATTGTGAGGTCAATGTCTGTAATTTACAAGACTCTCAGTTGCCAGGGTTGAGCATTGTGTCAATCCATTTTTTTAGAGGAAGTGAATACATGAAAGAGCTCACAGTGATTTACTGAACATGGCTGCTGAAATGTATAACATTATTGTGCATTATTGCTACTGTGATATGCAGATTTATATTGCAATTGCCTCTGGATTCAGAAAAACACACTTCACAGTGAGGTAGCAACCAAAACTGTGGCATTTAGAAACAACAAAAATGCTGGAATAGCTGACAAACACAGGCTATTTTGTTCCCAGGGGCTTAAAATCGGTTTTTAATATGATGAAAAGGTAGCTATTATGTGACATAGGAAGATATTGATATTTTCAGTTTTCTCTGAGTTGGTCATAAAATGACACTGGCAACTTCATCTTTTAATTAGGCAGATATTGTAGCAAGTACTTTGGGGATCACAAAGATGAACAAAAGGGCTCATCCAAAGAAAGCTTAAAACCTAGTGGTGCTGGAATTCTTGACCAGTCACATATGGTGATCTTGAATCTCTTGAAATAGTATAGATGCGTGTGTAGGTGCATTTTTCTGAGGAGAACTTTCATCACATTGTCCAGTGGTTCATGGACATAATTACATCCCTCTACTACAGAAGTTCTTAATCTGCCAAAAGATAAAGAACTTCTGTAGTACAGGGCTATAATTATTTAAAGAACTACACCATATGGGAATCATAAAGAGCCTCAGGGGTTTAAATGAGGAGCAAAACAGGTGGCAACACTGAGTAGTTTCATTATAAAATCCTTGACAATTTTGCAGGAGAAAATTTATTTGCGCTAGTGATAAAAACATTTTTCATATTTAACATTAGTTATTTTTTCTATGAGTTACTTGTTCTTCTTTTCCCATTTTTCTCTTTGTGTCTTAGGATTTTTTTCCTAATGAATTAACTGCTTTGTATCCTGATGGCATTAACCTTTTTGATGTTATACTTTTGGTAGACCTTTTCGGTAGTTTGATGAGTGCAAAATACTTTTGTGAATTTTTTACATGCGTAATTTTGTATTTTTATCGTCAAGTCTTTATATCTTTTTTCTTTGTAATTTATAATATTTAACTTTGTTTGAAACCCAGAGATAAGATATTCATGTAAATATTCTTATGATCTGTGCTGCTGGTTTTTCAGGCAATTTATATGCTTTCAGGTGTCTTCTTCAGACCAGGTGAAGTATTTGTATTATGTATTTGATACAGAGAGGAAGAAATGAGGTGAAGCTCTGCTGTCATACTACTGGAATTAGTATAGTGAGATCGTTAGCACAGTGGGGCCTGGAGAGTTTCTCTGGGTTTGAACATGGCTCTGACATTATGTGTCCTTTTGACTTCATTTAACTTCTCTGTTCTTCAGTTTCCGTATCTAGAAAATAGGTTTAATATAATAACTTTTGGGAGGCCGAGGCGGGCGAATCACGAGGTCAGGAGTTCGAGACCAGCTTGCCAACATGGTGAAACCCCGTCTTTACTAAAAATACAAAAATTAGCTGGGATTACAGATCCCAGCTACTCAGGAGGCTGAGGCAGGAGAATTGCTTGAACCCGGGAGGCAGAGGTTGTAGTAAGCCGAGATCGCTCCACTGCACTCCAGGGTGGGCCACAGAACAAGACTCTGTCTCGGGTAGTGGTGGTGTGTCGGGGCGGGGAGGGGGGGGGATAGCCTATCTTAAATGGTTGTGAGAATAAAATGAGTTGATATGTAAACCACTTAGAACAGGTCCTGGTATAAAGTCAGTGCCAGCCACAGTTTAGTCCAGGCTGGGTAGAGCTCTGAAGCTTGATACTGTTTCAATGTACTTTGCATTTCTAAAAACATGAACATTTCAAAACATTCAGTTGATCGCCTAACGACTACCTATACCGGAGCCTCATTCCAGCACATTTGTAAGCAAGGCACGCCTCCTAGAGGCCACGAGTGAAGTTAATTTCCAGTTCTCGAAAATCTTACAGACAGAACTGGTGTGGTGGCTCTGACGCGCCGCTTGTGAGTCTGCAGTAAGACATCTGGAAAGTAAGCGGCACGTCCGCGTTATCTACAGTGCTTCCACTTTTTCCACCCTATCTTCCCTCCGAGGCTGGGTTCTTCTAATTCCTGTAGACTGCAGAGCGATTTCTGCGAATGTTCATTCTTTCATTCATTCTAGTTCATTCCACAGATAATTCAGCCGCGCGCTTACTCTGTGCGAGGCATTGCCGGGGAGCGGGGAGGGAACTGAACGTGGAACCTGCCAGTAGGATCTTGCCGCCCAATCCGAAATTCAAACTATGTATTGTATGTAGCTAATGATGATCTTGTAACTTGTTTCCTCATCTGCCAAATGGGGGTAATACGACCGTATAGGACCTTAAACGTCGCTGAAAGATTAAACGAGGGGAAAAAAGAGCCCTTAATAGTGAGCTAGGTGCAAAAAGGATCCTAATGCTTTTTTTCCTCATTCCTCCCCAGATTGAAAGTGATGAGTGCCAGCTCTGCGGGTTAAAGCGCCATATTCTCCTCAATATACGGAATATTTGTTAGTGTCCCCAAACGAACTTACATTGGTTCAATTTTCGGCGTATGGGAGTTTTCGCCACTAGCATTCAGCACCCCAGTTTCAACCGTTAAAAGCTACCTACTCCACGTACGGGAAATGCATCTTAAAATTTGGAAAAAAGAAATCCCCAAAACATTGACATCCAAACATTTTAAAGCTGCCAAAGTCCATGAAACGCCTTGAGCTCCCAGACGCGCTTCACTGAGCATGCCCAGAGCCCCAGGCACAACCCCCTCCAAGCGGCCGAGGGGAGGTGGGGGAGGGCGGGCCTTCCGTGCTAATCGCTTCCGCTTCCGGTTTCATATGAACTCTCCCGCCACCCGGGAGCGGTAGCTGTCAGCGTTTGTGTTTCCCCGAGTTTGAATTCTTGCAGGTAAGGGAAACTCCCGCGAATTTAGGACAGAGAGCAATTCTGTTGTTGAGGCTTGCAAGTCGACAGAAAGGAGAGACGGATCACTTTGCAGGCAGCAGGAGCAGAAGGACAGACTTGGCGGGTTGAGAGTAGTGGGTATTGGTTGATTGGTTGGGGCAGACACTCAGGTACCAGGGAGGAGTTGGGGGCAGATAGGTTTGCTAGTGGAGTGGGCAGAGGTGTTGGGGATGGAACTTTTATAAGGCACTTGTGGATGCTCCCGAAAAGGAGTTCCGAAAGACAGTTGTTCTGTTTCCCAGAGTCATAACAGAGAAAGTGAGTAACTGGACCCAGTCCATCAAGTGAGACCCTCATTTAGCCAGAACCTACAGCACTCTCCTCTAAGTTCAGGATTGCAGACCACGTAAAACCTTATATTAACTCTTGGGATCGTAAAGATCCAGGAGCAGTGACACACAGGCCTGTAATGAGCAGGCAACATCACCTGACTTTCATGTTGCTGAAAATTAGGATCACCACCTGCGTCTGCTCTAGCGCCTCTCCCACCCCCATTACAAAATTATTATAGGTGTATTGTAGAAAATCTGGAAAAGAGAGAAGGACATCACCCAGGAATTGCCACTGCTAACATTTTGTGCATGCCTTCAAGTCCATTTTTTTTTTTCTGTTTGTGTAATTATTTTTTCGTGTTTTCTTTTTCCAACTTTATTTTCCATAATTTTATGCTTTTTATATGCTTCCTTCTAAGGTGACCAAGATGGAGTTTTCCAAAAAAAAGTGGAGGATGCCGAGATTGGCAGGTGACCAGAGGAATGCTTCCTACCCTCATTGCCTTCAGTTTTACTTGCAGCCACCGTCTGAAAACATATCTTTAATAGAATTTGAAAACTTGGCTATTGATAGAGTTAAATGTAAGTACTATTTAAATTAGAATGTATATATTCTTGAGAAACTTACCCTTTGTGAGAATGAATGAAGGTAATTTATTTCCTTCATTCAGCAATCCATTCAACAAATATTTATTGAGATAATTCATTTCCTTCATTCAGCAATCCATTCAAGAAATATTTGTTGAGGGTTTGGTACTCATTCATTTATTTATTGTACAGTGCATATTATTGAGTGCCATTATGTTCTAGGTGGCAGGGATTTTGATATGAATAATGTTATTTTTTGTTGAAGTTGTATTCTAGTACATGGAGACAGACATCCAAAATAATAGTCATAATTCAGTATTTTAACTGCTCTAGAAGTAAATGGTGGTGCTGTTGAAACAAAGAAGTGGGAGTGACTGACTTAGTCTGATTAAATAAGCTTCTTAGAGAAGTTGAAATGTGATCTGGACCTTGAAGAATGGGTAGAAATTTTCCAGCAGAGAAGAAGTGAAGAGTTTTTCCAAGCTGACATAATGGCCTATACAAAGGCTTGGAGCATGAAAGAGAATTTCATATTTGAGGTAACAGTAACAAGTTCAGGAATTCAGGGTGGATGGAGAAGTATGGAGGGCATTATGTGCCATGCTAATGATATGATATCGGGGTGTAAGAAGGATGTGGTCATTGTCCTGGGGGCCTACTTAATCCTCAGTGTGTTGCTAGAGAAAAGAATGGGCTAGACATGAATTGAAATAGAAACACTAGTGTTGTTTTCAGAGTTTATGTTCCAGGATATCCTTGTGGGGAAATCAGAATGAAAGGTGAGACACTGGTAATCATTCTTAGAGGAGCAGGGTAAGCACTGCTAATACAGAGAGGAGGCACTCAGTGCCTGTGTGTTGAATGAAAGAATGAAGACAAGGGAGAAAAGGGTTTTAGAAAGCTTAGCAGTGTCAGATACTTCATAGGGATTAAGACGGTGATTGAAAAGTGTCCCTTGGGTTTGGCACTTGAGGTGAAATGATACGAGCCTGAACTATGATAGTGACAATGGCAATGATAGGAAGGGAGAGAGTTAAGGGATACTGAGGGAGGTAACATGGATAGGATTTGGTGACTGGATATGAGGAGTGAAGGAGCAGATGTGGAGTGGCTGAAGTTCCTGCTTGGATGATCTCATGCATAGAAACTCTGCTGATGGAGATGGGCATGGCAGGAAGAAAAGTAGGAATGAGGGGAGGATAATTAATTTGGATATGCATACCTGTGGGACATGGGGTTTATGTTCCTGAGACAATTAGAAGTTCTTCATTCTTGACTTCAAAAATGCCTCCAGAGAATAATTCATCTGAGGAAAGATTGATAAGGTGCTTTAGGAACCTTTGAACAGTATGTAGCATCTGTTCAGGATGGTTCATTTGGCTGATTGGATGGCCCTTCTTCTTCACTGTTGTGCCCTGTCCTCGGCTTCATCAGGAAAGGAAGGGATGCTTTTTTCCTGTTGAATCTATGCCAAGTGAATGACGCCTGCTGCGTAACAGGCAGCTCACAAATGAAGGATGCAAACAAGGAGTGCCTAGTTTTTTTCCCATACTGACATACTTTTCTGTTCCTCAGCAGCAGCAGCTCAGTACGGGAATGATTATTCACCGTCCATCCCTCTTCCCTGATTGAGAATCCCTGGTATTAGATTATGCTATGAGACATGGATATTTTCTGCACATAGATGGACATTATCATCTTATAAGCATATATAGTTTATATAATGTAGTTACAGGAAATAAACTGGCAATTACTTGTCATATTCTATAAACAAGTAATTATGGAATTGCCCTCCATAGATTTTGTTTTGGATTTAGTTTTAAAACATTATCTTGCATTTGTACCTTTTTTCTTTTTTTTAGTGTTAAAATCAGTTGAAAATCTTGGAGTGAGCTATGTGAAGGGAACTGAACAATACCAGAGTAAGTTGGAGAGTGAGCTTCGAAAGCTCAAGTTTTCCTACAGAGTAAGTAAAAAAGGAAAAAAAGTTCCTTCAGTTTCCATATATGTATGTGTTGGGTGTCACTTGTGGGAAAGGTATTATATTAGGCACTGGGCTTTTATAAAGACTAATATATCATGATCTCTGCCTGGAGATTCTTCAGTCTATTAGGGGTGATTGACATGAAGTCAGATGATTATAATATGGCAGGGTTTCTCAACCTCAGGACTAACATCATTTTGGGTCTAACAATTCCTTGTTGCAGGGACTCTCCTGTGCGTTGTAGGATGCTCAGTAGCATCTCTGGCTTTTACCCCTACATATTTCCAGACATTGCCAAATGTATCCCGTGCAATACAGGACGATGACTGTGTTTATAGATGCATGCTCCAGGAACTCCAAAAACATATATAATTATGCAGCTCAGATTGGGGAGGTTTGGGATGGCTTTCCAGAAGAGGTAGTAGTGGAGCTGCATGTTGACAGATGTGGTTAGATTTTCATTTTGGGAAGATGACTGCCAACTGCAGATTGACAGGATCATGTCTGTTAGGAGGGAAACCAGTTAGAAGCCTGGAAATGATGAGAGTCTGAATTAAATGAGAGAAGGGGACTGGTTGAAGAGGTATTAAGAAGGTAGAATCAAAAGGTTTTAGTGACTGATTGTAGGGGGAATGGAGAGAGAAGAGTTATAAATGACACCCAGGTTTCTAGTTAGGAAAATTAGTGGATGGTGGTAATATTTTGAGATGTGATATGCAGGAGGGGAAGCAAGTCTTGGAAGATGTAGAGTTTAGTTCTTAACATGAATTTGAGGTGCCTGTGGAGATGTCTAGTGGACAATTGGATACACAGGTCTGAATATACAGGAAGACATCTGGTGGGAGTATAGATTTAGCAGAAGGTTGGAATCACCAGGAGTAGGTAAGAGCACCCTAGGAAGATATTTGAGAGAGAAGAGATGATGGTGGAAGTAAAGACATGAGGAATACCAGTATTGAAGGTAAAGTAGAATTGGAGGAGTTTGGGAAGGAGAATGGAAAGGAGCTTTCTCAGAAGTAGGAGATGAACCAGGATAGTAGTGTCGTAGAAGCCAAGGAGGGCTAGAGTGTCAATAATAATGATCATGATATTAATAATGATAATAGGGAATAACAACAGCAGATATTTATATTAATAGTATGTTTACTATATACCAGACCTTGTTCTAAGTGCATTACATATATTAGCCCATGTATGTAATTCATACAGCAGTCTTATGAGGTAGGTATTATTATCATCCCTATTTTACAGATACAACCTATTTATTCACAGACTGAATAATTTGCCCAAGCTCATAAGATGGTAAATGGTGGAGCCATGGGGGTGGTTACCCCCATGCTGCTGTTCTAGATAGTGAGTTCTCACAAGATCTGATGGTTTTATAAGGGACTTTTCCCCGTTTTGCTCAGCACTTCTCCTTACTGCCACCATGTGAGGAAGGACGTGTTTGCTTCCCCCTCTGCCACGATTGTAAGTTTCCTGAGGTCTCCCCAGCCCTGGGGAACTGCGAGTTAGTTAAACCTCTTTCCTTTTATGGGTTTACCCAGTCTTGAGTATGTCTTTATTAGCAGCATGAGAATGGACTAATATAGCTTTACATGCCAGGAAGAGGAGATGCTTTGTAGAGATGGATGGAAGGCAACACACATGTGTATACGGAAGCTTGGGACTGAAGGAGTCTGCCTGGTAGCCTTTATTTTCTGTAAAGCAGGTGAAGTCATCTGTTCAGAGAGAAGGGAAAGGTGCTGTAGTAGGGGTCTTGGGACAACTGGTGAAGACTGAAGATTTTCTGAAAAGTGAGGAAGGAGATGATTTTTTGTCAAATCTCAATACTGCTACTTACTCTGGACAAACTTTGTGACCCTGAACAAGTTACATAACTTCTTTGTGCCTCAGTTTCCTTATCTGTAAAATAAGATTATAGTAGTGCCTACTCGTAGGGTTTTTTTTTTGTTTTTTAAAGGATTAAATGGGTTCATGCCTTAAAAATGTTTAGGGCACTTTTATGCCTGGTGCCTAGTAAGTGCTCAAGACATGTTTGCGCTTATTATTTTGGATCTGACTATTGGCAAGGATCTAGTTGAGATTATAGGCCATGAAATTATATTTTCCAAATTCCTGTAGTTGTGTTTTTCTCCAGAGGTTCTTAGCACTTTGAGAATAGGACTGCAGAGTGTAGTTGTAGATTAAGAATCTAGGTTTTGCCAAATGGTTGAAATTAGAGAAGCTGAGGTTGATTCCTGTAGTTGTGTTTTTCTCCAGAGGTTCTTAGCACTTTGAGACTAGGACTGCAGAGTGTAGTTGTAGATTAAGAATCTAGGTTTTGCCAAATGGTTGAAATTAAAGAAGCTGAGGTTGGTGTAAGAAGTTGTTGAAGTGGTGAGCACCCTGGATATAGGCTGGAAAAGAAGAAAATTAAAAGAGAGGGGTTGGTGGGAAGAAAATAGTGGGGTCCAAACTCAAGAGGTTTTGTTGAGATTAGTTTGCTTCTTGGTTTCATCTGATTGATAGCTTAAGGTAAATGATAATTGCCCTGAAAAGCATATTAAGAAATGTTTTGGCAATGAGAACACATGGCCACAGGGAGGGGAACACCCCACACCAGGGCCTGTCAGGGGGTTTGGGGCAAGGGGAGAGAGAGCATTAGGACAAATACCTAATGCATGCAGGGCTTAAAACCTAGATGATGGGTTGATAGGTGCAGCAAACCACCATGGCACGTATATACCTATTGTAACAAACCTGCACGTTCTGCATGTGTATCCCAGAACTTAAAGTAAAAAGAAAAAAAAAAAGAAGAAATGTTTTGGGACTGGGTGTGGTGGCTCATGGCTGTAATTCTACTGCTTTAAGAGAGTAGAGTAGGAGGATTGCTTGAGACCAGGAGTTCGTAACCATCCTGGGCAACCTATTGAGACTCCATCTACACAAAAGATAAAAAATTAGCGGAGCATGGTGGGTGTTGCTTGTAGTCCCAGCTCTTTGGGAGGTTGAGGCTGGAGGATCACTTGAGCCCAGGAGTTGGAAGTTATAGTGAGCTGTGATTGACCACTACCCTCCAGTGTGGGTGATAGAGCGAGACCCCATCTCTAAAAAAAGAAATGTTTTTGAAACTTACTTTACCATTGGCTCAGGCTAGCTCAGTATTTCTTTATACCTCTTACCATTCTAATGCATTTATTTTATTCATGTGTCATTATTTTTAAGGAAAACTTAGAAGATGAATATGAACCGCGAAGAAGAGATCATATTTCTCATTTTATTTTGCGGCTTGCTTATTGCCAGTCGTGAGTATATGTTTATATTCTCACAGTCAAATCTGGTGTCATGGGTTATAAATTGGTGTGTGGTAAGTTGATGTGTTGTAGTGAACATAGGAAAACCCAGAATAACATCAGGAACCAGTTGATCATGGGGTTGAACACTGTTATAGTAAATTGTTTGGAGCAAATTGTTTACTTAAAAATACTGAAAAAAATTCTATCACAAAATTTTGCCTGATGAAACACTTTTTAAGTTTATGAGAGAGACTCTTCATTTGGGATTTTAAATTGGAAAGGATTTTATTGGGAGGAAGGACTTTTGATACTTTTCCTGCAAAAAAAAGATAATATTTATAAGAAACAATTAATGAAACCCACACTTGAATTTGATACAGGTTTTTGGAATTTGAGCTCTATGGGCCAGTTAAATCTAAGATTTTTGTTTGGTAGTTGGTTTTTTTAAGTTAATAGTGCCACCCAGAGGTAGTAAAGTTAGTTGCTTTTTTTAAAACTGTTTTTCCCCACATATTAATTTTGGTCACATAATTTAGTTATGGCTGTCTTTGTTTTAATTAATAGGCTTATCAAGTGAGACTCTTGAATTGCTTACTATCCCAAGATAATAATTGGTAAATTACTTACCAGTTTTGGTTCTAGAGTTTTTCTTCTATAAAAAAGCATATGTAGTTTATGAAATTTATATAATAAATACATTGCTGACAATCTGTGAAAATCTCCTAAAAATGTGAAATCATATTTTGCATCCAGTAGGGTAATTATTTTATTATATAACAGTAACACCCCTTAGTATCTGCCTTATAAATGAACATTTTATTGCTTTTAAATATTGTGGTATACATGTACATATTAAATTTTATGAAATTATAAATTGTAAAGCCATGAGCAAAGTGTCCTTTGCAAAGTTAATCTGATCAAAGTTGCCTTAAAAAATTTGGTGTCTTTTAGTTGGCATTTATAAAGACACCTCAAGCCAAAGGAGTGCCCCATTTCCCCATTTTCTTTTCTTTTTCTTTCTCTTTTCTCTCTCTTTTTTTTTTTTTGAGCTAGGGTCTCGTGCCATTGCCTAGGCTGGAGTACAGTGGTGCCATCTCGGCTCACTGCAGCCTCAACCTCTGTGGGCTCAGGTGATCCTTCCACCTCAGCCTCCTGAGAAGCTGGGACTATAGGCACATGCCACCATGCCTGGCTAATTTTTTTGTAGATATGGGGTTTTACCAAGTTGCTCAGGCTGGTCTCAGACTTCTGGGCTCAGGTGATCTGCCCGCCTTGACCTCTCAAATTGCTAGGATTACAGGCATGAGCCACCATACCAGCCCCTATTTTCTAACATAAAATGAATATTTTGAAGTTACATTAAATGCATGAAGTATTTTATGTTATTTAAAAATAATGCAGCTGGGCTCGAAGCATTCTGTATTTAATCCTTTTAATTTTTAACACCCCCTATACCTTGTACCCAACACATCCCTAGAAGATTGTGATATGTGGTATTGATATTCTCCTTACCATGATAGAGGACTTGCATGTTTTTAACTGCTGTCCATTAGCATCTTGCTTATGTCTGAATATTGTTTTATAAACATTTCTTAGATTTAATAATCACTGGATTTTTAGTTTGTACTCATGCTTTCTGTCTTCATTTCAGTGAAGAACTTAGACGCTGGTTCATTCAACAAGAAATGGATCTCCTTCGATTTAGATTCAGCATTTTACCCAAGGATAAAATTCAGGATTTCTTAAAGGATAGCCAATTGCAGTTTGAGGCTGTAAGTATATTTTTGTAGTTATTTCTAATTGTTCTCACCGTTCATTTTTCCCTTCTGTCTTAAGTGCTGGTACTAATGTGTGGTGTATTCTCTTTACATTCTGCAAGTACCTGTCTGAAACAGTAGCTAATAGCTTTGGATAACAATATGTCTTTCCTTCTCTATGACTAGAAGAAAAGGGGCTCCTTAATAACACAGTCTCACATTTAGTTCCTCTGTTAAATATGTGCTTTATTAAAGCACAAGAAGGTTTAGTTTATAAAGGTTCACCTTTAACCAAAATTTTGTTGGCCAAAAAATTTCAAAATTAATAATGTGTTAAACTAGACAAGTGATGGTTATTTATTTATAGTTGTGAAATTTAGAGGAGGTAACACTTTATATAAAAGTCAGTTGTCAGGCAGGGCATGGTACCTCACACCTGTAATCCCAGCACTTTGGGAGTCTGCGGTGGGCAGATCACTTGAAGTCAAAAGTTCGAGACCATCCTGGCCAACATGGTGAAACCCCCACTCTACAAAAAATACAAAAGTTAGCCAGGTATGGTGCTGCGCGCCCGTAATCCCAGCTAGTCAGGAGGCTAAGGCATGAAAATTGCTTGAACCCAAGAGGTGGAGGCTGTGATGGGCTGAGATCATGCCACTGCACTCCAGTCTGGGCAACAGAGCAAGACTCCATCTCAAAAAAAAAAAACAAACAACAAAAACCCAAAAAACAAAAAGTCAGTTGTGAATAAAATCTGTCTGAATAGTTTTGCAGATAAATCTGAATGATTTACGTATTGTAATTATATAAAAAAGAAGAGATCTTTGGGACTCATTTAACAGGGATAAGTATTGGAAATAGAATTTATATCTTTTTTTTTTTTTTTTTTGAGATGGAGCCTCACTCTGTCATCCAGGTGGGAATGCAGTGGTATGATCTCGGCTCACTGTAACCTCCACCTCCTAGGTTCAAGCGATTCTCCTGCCTCAGCCTCCTGAGTTGCTGGGACTACAGGTGTGTGCCACCATGTCTGGCTAATTTTTGTATTTTTAGAGACATGGTTTCACCATGTTGGCCAGGCTGGTCTCAAACCCCTGACCTCGGGTGATATGCCCGCCTCAGCCTCCCAAAGTGCTGGGATTACAGGTGTGAGCCTCTGTGCCTGGCCTAGAATTTATGTCTTTTAGGTAGATACATGCCACAATGGGAATGTAGAAAAATTCTGTTTTGGAAGTTTTAGAGCAGTCAGATGGTAGTAGGACTGGCTGAGACTCTGTTTTGTTGTTGGAATGCATGGCTTGAAGCCAAATAAAGTAAAAAAGTAGAAGTTGCAATAGGTGAAAGACATTGTTCTGTCTGACAAGTAGAAGACATATCCACTGTATCAAGGAACACTATGGAGTATATGAGTTAGGGAAAAGAGACTGTGAAGGGAAGTGAACAAACATTCTGTAGACGTTTAGTATTGAATATATGCTAGGGAGGCAGTTTCTATAGTTTCTTTCATTTGCTTCATGAGGTTTCTAAGTCACGTCTACCTTTGCATAGACAGATGTCATGCATGGTACCATCTGAACCAAAACCATTGCATCTTCCATTTTGTTTTTAACTTTTATCCTTGGTGAAGTCCATTATTGCAATTATCAATTACAGTTAATTTATCCGTTCATATTAGAAATAGTTTATTTTTTGCTTTTGTTGAAATTACTGATTTTTAGTAGTTTATAGAGAGAAGTGTCCTTGAGAAGGTCTATTATTTATTCTAGAGCAGCTATCTCCAACCTTTTTGGCACCAGGGACTGGTTTTGTGGAAGACAATTTTTCCACGGACTGAGATAGCAGGGTGGGGAGGGATGTGGATAGTTTTGGGATGAACTGTTCCACCTCAGATCATCAGGCATTAGATTCTCATACGGAATGCACATCTTAGATCCCTCACATGTGCAGTTCATAGTAGGGTTCGCACTCCTATAAGAATCTAATGTCTCCACTAATCTGACAGGAAGTGGAGCTCAGGTGGTAATGCTCACTCACTGGTCACCTCCTGTGCAGCCTGGTTCCTAGTGGGCCATGGACTGGTGCTGGTATTGCGGCCTGAGAGTTGGAGACCCCAGTTTTAGAGTGTCTCAACGCATTGTCACATATAGTTTTTTAAATAATAGATTTATTGAGCTAGAATTCACAAATCTTGACATGCCCCCTTTTACAATGTATAATTCATTGGTTTTTAGTGTAATTACAGATTGTACAACTAACACCACTATGTAATTTTAGAACATTTTCATCACCCTAAAAATGAAACCTCATACCCATTTATGGTCACTCCCTCTTCTTCCTCTCCCAACCCTTGGCAGCCACTAACCTGCTTTCTGTCTCTGGATTTGTCTGTTCTGAACATTTCATATAAATGGAGTCATACAATATTTGGTCCCTTGTGATCAGCTTATTTTACTTAGCATAATATTTTCAAGTTTCATCTATGCTGTAGAATGTATCTGTACTTAATTTTTTAATTGCCAAATAATATTTTACCTGTTCAGCATTTGAGGGACATTTGGATGGTTTCCACATTTTGGCTATTATGAATAATGCTACAGTGAATATTTGTGTCCAGGTTTTTGTGTGAATATGTTTTCCTTTCTCTCAGGTGTATACCTAGGAGTGGAATTGCTAGATCAAAGGGTGATTCTGTGTTTAAACTTTTGAGGAGCTATCAAAATGTTTTCCAAAGTGGCTATATCATTATATATCTTACCAGGAGTGGATGAGGGTTCCACTTTCTCCACAGCCTCACCAAAAATTGTTACCTTTTAAAAAAATATAGCCATCATAGTGGGTATGAAGTGGTATGTAATTGTGGTTTTGATTTGCATTTCTAATGAAGCTGAACATCTTTTCATGTGCTTATTGGTGATTTGTGTATCATCTGTGGAAAGATGTCTGTTCAAATCCTTTGCCTGTTTTTTAGTTGAATTGTTTGTCTTTTTATTGTTGTGTGTTCTTTGCATATTCTGGATACAAGTCCATTATCATATGATTTACAAATATTTTCTCCCATTCTGAAGGTTATCTTTTCTTGATTGTATTGTTTGCAACAAAAAGATTTTTTTTTCTTTAGATGAAGTCTAATTTATCTTTTTTTCTTGTTACTTGTGCTTTTGGTGTTGAGTCTAAGAAGGGTTTGCCTAATGTGAGGTCATAAAGATTTACTCCTACAGTTTTTTCTCTAACAGTTTTGTAGTTTTAGCATATCTGTGGTTCATTTTGAATTAATTTCTATACATGGTGTCAAGGAAGGGTCCAACTTCATTCTTTTGCATGTAGATATCTAGTTGTCCCAACATCATTTGTTGAAATGACCGCTTTCCTCATTGATTTATCTGGGCACATTTGTCAAGCCAGTTGGCTATTGATATGGTTTGACTGTGACCCCACCCAAATGTCATCTTGAATTATGGTTCCAATAATCCCCATGTGTCATGGGAAGGACTTGGTGGGAGGTAACTGAATCATGGGGGCAGTCTCCCCCATGCTATTCTCATGATAGTAAATTCTCATGAGATCTGATGGTTTTATAAGGGGCTTCCCCTTTCACTTTGTTCTCATTCTCTCCCCTGCCGCCCTGTGAAGAGGTGCCATCTGCCGTGATTGTAAGTTTCCTGAGGCCTCCCCAGACACGCGGAGGCCTCAGGATTAAACCTCTTTCCTTTATAAATTACCCAGTCTCAGGCAGTTCTTTATAGCAGCGTGGGAACAGACTAATACAACTGTCAATGTAAACATTTATTTCAGTACCCTTAGTTTTATTCCATTGATCTGTCTGTCGTTATGTCAATACCACGTGGGTTTGATTATTGGTTACTGTAGCTTTGTTGTTAAGATTTAAAGTTGAGAAGTATGAATTCTCCAGCTTTGTTCTTTTTTTAAGATTGTTTTGGCTATTCTGGGTTCCTTGCATTTTTTAATGAATTTTGGGATCAACTTGTTAATTTCTACCAAGAAGCTAGCTAGGATTCACATTGGGATTACACTGAATCTGTAGATCAGTTTGGGAGGTACTCTTTTGTAATGATATTAAGTCTTCCAATCCATGAACATGGGATGTCTTTCTATTTATTTAGATATTCTTTAATTTTCTTTCAACAATGTCTTGTAATTTTTTGTTAAATTTATACCTAAATATTTTATTATTCAATGCTATTGTAAGTGGAGTTGTTTTCTTCATTTCACATTTGGAATGTTCATTGCTAGTATATAAAAATCCAGGTGATTTTTGTATATTGATCTTGTATCCTGCAACCTTGCTAAACTTGGTTTTTTTTTTTTTTTTTTTTTTTCCCTGAGACGGAGTCTCGCTCTGTCACCCAGGCTGGAGTGCAGTGGCGCGATCTCGGCTTACTGCCAGACCCCCCTCCCAGGTTCACGCCATTCTCCTGCCTCAGCCTCCTGCTTGCTGCCATGCCCAGCTAATTTTTTGTATTGTATTTTTAAAAAATTCTAACAGTTTTATAGTGGATTTATTATGAGGTTATGTTTTCTACAGAGATATTCTGACTCCTTACTTTCTAATCAGGATGCTTTTTGTTTCTTTATTTTTGCCCAGTTGCCCAGCTAGAATCTCCAGTACAGTGTTGAATAAAAGCGGCAATAGCATTCATCATGATGTCAGGGGAAAGATGTCTTTCACTATGTTACATGGTATTAGCTGTGTGTTTTTTTAATAGATGCCCTTTGTCGGATTGAGAAAATTTTCTTCTAATTCTAGTTGAATACTTTCATTAAGAAAGGATGTTGTATTTTGTCAGTGCTTTTCCTGCACCAATTAAGATGATCCTATGGTTTCTGTCCTTTATTAATATGGTATGTTGGGCTGGGTGCGGTAGCTCATGCCTGTAATCCCAGCACTTTGGGAGGCTGAGACGGGCAGATCACGAGGTCAGGAGTTCGAGACCAGCCTGGCCAACATAGTGAAACCTCATCTCTACTGAAAAAAAAAAAAAACCCAAAAAATTAGC